AATATGTGAAGCGGCGCTGTCACTGAACACGGTAAACAAATAATATGTGCAAAAAACAAATATTGTAGTGAACAATACTACTGTGAAAATGTTTTTTTTTTTTATTCAATCTTCTTATCAACTGTTTGTATAAGTCAAAAGTGGTTATCTTTAAAACAAAAAGGTCTCAAAAGTGACTAATAAAGTAGAAAACATCCTGTGTCAGTGTTAGACACATAATTGAAACAGAGTGTTTATTAAATCATTAAACGCAGACAGCTCTCATGTCTTTAATATATGGGGGGAAAAAACGAGGAAAAAAATGTGTTTTCTTAGTCTTTCTTTGTGCGTCTCTCTGCCCACTCTTGTAATTTCTTGTATATGATCTTTAGACTAGTTTTGCATAGAAAATCTTTTGCTGCAGTGCTCGCAAAGAACACCAGTGCTCTGAAAAATAAGCCTCTCATCTCCGTGTTCAGACCCTTGGGTCTCAAAGTGCTTTTTGTAGGATTAAACTCCTTCCTCACACTATTTGAAGCCGTGATCTTCCTTCCTTCAGATGAGACCGATCCTGATCTTAACGTTTTCTCCTCTACTGATAGCCCAACTTCATCTCAAAAATAGTTGGCATCATTATGGGTAGTATTCACCGGGACAGGAAGTGAGGCGAAATCTCCTTGTGGGGGTACGTTTACAGCAGTAAAAAGTTGGCAGGGGTTCTTACCTTTCCCCACTCTATCTGAACCAAAACTGTTTTGTCTTTATTTTGGGGCTTTGTTTTGTGTTCACAATGCAGATTTGTCTTTGGAGGAAATGCAACCAAGTGGTCAAATATCTTCTAAAAAAGTTAAAGGTGAGAATTTTGTTAAAAAATATCTATCGCCAGTGACTGACTTGCTGACAAGCCTTTTATAACTTCTCTTATAGTGTCACTCCCTTGCTGGCCATACTATCAAGATGGAGCTTCATTTCTTTTCCCTTGCTAGAGGTCAAGATGCTGCAGAGTTTTGCTCAGTGAAGGAGCCATGTCTATTTGACAAAGTGGCAGCACTACTGTGGTGAATCTGACGCTAGTGAGGTGTCACCAGTAGCAGATCCACTGGTGTGACACGGTCTCTAACGGCTTCATGAACATCTTAAGTTTGCCATGCACTGTTAATTTTTTTTTCCTTTCAAGCTGTGGGCTGAATGGAACAAATAATATAACCGATTCCTCCACGCATGCTAAACCGTGTGGATGAATGAATCTCCCATTGGGCTGCTGTGCCGCTGTTAGAATACCCGAACAAATGACAGCAGCTGATGGGCTGCTGTCACTGTTCAGCCCAAAATCTTACGACCAGCTCCGTCGACTTTCTAAAGGGCGCCAACAGGGCCACCCAATGAACAAATGTTGGCATATTCCAAAACTGAATGTAAAGCTTTGAAATAAAGGAGCCAATGACTGTCTTCTAATCCCCCACCCACCCCCTTCCCTACTACACACAAACTTCTGTAAAATGACAAGTGTACTGCAAACTGGAAATTGCATTTTAGCACGCAGAAGTGTGACGTTATTAGCTATCGGTTTGATTTGCTGTAGGGTAAAGAGGTTTCCTGTGCACGTACATAAAAACAGTAGGAAAGGAAAAGTGTCGGGGTTGTTAAACAGTCAGTGTTTTCTTTTTAACTGCTCTATGAAATGACAGCTGTAATGCAAATTTATGCCCAGGGCAATACTTTCCCTTCCTTTTTGTTCATTTTATCTGAATGAGTTCTTTTGTAGTAATGTTTATATACCTTGGCTGCTGGAATTCTTGCTGCGTGGACATCGGTTGATTTTGATTTGAAAGTTCTTTGCTTGTGATAAGAATTTGTAGTACAGAACAGTTGGATCTCAGAGTTGTCCTGAGAGAAGTTCATATTTTGTTCTGTTTGAAGCTGCCATCTTTATATGTATCCTTATTAGTGGTGTGACGCAACTGCCAACGGAGTCTGCGATCCCAGCCAAGGAAACTTGCAGTGCTGTGTTTATGGTGCAGCATAACCTAGGATTTGTCTAAGTCATGAGCCTGGTCTAGTCCTTTTCATTGCTGTACCAACACATTTAATCTGTGAATTGAGCATCCCTTGTCCTCGGAGTTGGGTGATCCACCAGAGGAAGAGGCAGGAATTGGCTAGTATGAGTGCTGACAGGAGGTGAATGCAGGGTAATATGGGTGTGTGATGTATTGTGAGCAGTACCTAGACAATACAGAATAGAAGTGCAGCCATCGGTCTGCTCAGCAGCTTTTGTCATGGGGTGAAACTCGTAGTCATCTGATAGTCTTGTGCTTTGGAATAAACCCCAAATAAAGGTGAGGGCAATAGCAGTCCTCTGCACACTGTACAGTTTGTCTGGCCATGAATACTGGTGGATGAAAGGCATGCAGTATATGGAAAGGTATTCATATTTTTCTTCTTTGCATTTGCTTGCAGTTTCTCATCATTCGTCTCATTCTTTGTACTAAGAGTTGTGTCCTGCCTAAATGTCATTGTGACTTGTTGGCATTAAGCTTCCAAACTTGGTAAAATGTAGTTAGTAGCAGTCCTGTGAAAACCATAGCTTTTCATTTTTGTTTTTCTTTCTTTACTGTCCTGAATAATGCATTTTGAGGCTTTTGTAGGCATTACACTTTATGCTCCTGTTGGTGCTATAGTGGTATACCACCTTCACTGAAATTTTCCAATGGCATTTTTCTTTAAAGTGATCAGCTGCAAAGTAACAGATTTATTTAACACAGGGCTGGACAAATCCCAGGAGTCAGGTAGCCAATGCACCCTAAAAATTACAGCTGATGTCTATCTTTTGAGGTTTTCTCTAGCTGTTGTCAATGGAGCTGTAGCCTTAAAAATCCTCCGCGCTCATGGATTGGACAGACTGGCTTCTGGATTCCAAATAAATTTGTCTACCCCTGCTTTAATAATGGCTCCGGCATCAGCAAATACTTTCCTTCTCTTTCAATACCCCACCGCTAGCAAACATAGTTGGTACTTCTGGGGCTATTGAGGGGCATGTAACTTTCTTCCCATGTGACAGGACTGGGGCCTGGCAATTGACTGTTGAGGCAACCAGCGCTGTTGTATGAGGTAGAAAGGCTGCTGCCTTGCATAAGCTGTATATTACAACTTGAAGCTTACACGGAGGTAACTCTCCTCACTTGCACAGCGGCTATGAGCATCTAGTGAAGCTGCCATTAAAGTCAACCTGTTGATTTGCCCTGCATGAGTATCGCAAAGGTTTACTTTAAGGCCTTGTTCACAACTAGACATTTTTGAGCAGTAGGAAAAGGAAAAGATTTTCAATGGCCCCTGTTCACAATAAAACGCCAGCATGAAAACGCCAAACACAAAAAAAGCTACATGAGCTTCTTTTTGCAGTTTCAAGCTCGTGTTTTTCGCCTATAGACTTTAATGGAAACTCCAGAAAACGTGCAGCACATTTTTGTGTGCGTTTGCATGCGTGTTCCTCCATTGACCACAATGTTAAGCTGCAAGTGAAAACACGCATCGTTTTGTCCATGCACTTTCACGAGCATAAACGTGCAAATAACCGCACGCTAAACACGCACATAAAACGCACAAATGCTATGCCGCCTAGGTGTGAATTAGGCCTGAGGCTTATTTTGTGTTTTTGTTTATTAAACTTTGGTTTAAAATAAACCATGGTATTCCAGGTTCACGTGGATGCTGTTGGATTTCTGCTGGCTACTTATATTTCTTGTTGAACGTGGTGGTGAGATATCCTCACCGGAATTCCCAGTCTAACGCAGCCATTACAAACCAAATAAAGTTATCATTCGCCATCGTTTTGTATATATATAAATAATTGGGGAGTTCAGCTCCAAAAAAGATGCGATGAAGATAGACTGAAGGGAAATCTACCTGCTGAAGTCTGAACAGATATGAAAAGTTATTGCTTGTCCTGGGTGGAGCTGAGCTGTACAGAGTACAGGTTTACTTCAAGCAGACCATAAAATACAATAACCGTGTCTCACTTATATAGAAGCACCTGATTACTGCATGATTCATATTACATCCACACACATGCAGTGCACACACAACCTTTGATTGGAGTGTAGATTGAAACCAGATAACTTGCCAAAGATTTCCTTCACTGTTAGGAGTTTCTGTCTGACGTTGTGTCCTAAGTTTTTTTATTAAAGTGACATGAAACTCAAGATTTAAATCTTAAAAATGCATTCAAGTATCTTAAGATACACAGATAACTAACAACAAAAATGTATCGCTCAACTGTAGATCCTCAAATCATCTCTGAATTGGTGCTGGTCCAGCGAAGGATGACGGGTGGGCTGTGTGGGGTCTCGGGTGGGCTGTGCCGAGTCCCGGGTGGGTACAGGCAGTGGGGTTGCAAGAAGGTGGAAGAGCTTTTTGGGTGGAGCTGTAAACAAGTGTCAGGGTTCACAGGACGGCTACTGGGACCTCGGCAGCCTACCTGTGAACAGCGGCGCCTGTTTAAAAATTGTGCCACTATCTGGGCATATTTAAAAGTACGAGTACTCGTGAAAATGTATTCACCAATACCAGTGCATCCTTACTAATTTGTATTAAGATTGTAGTCCATCACGGTAGCGAGCACATGTTTAATGCATATGTGTAGATCTGATTCTTTAGAGAAAAAAAAAAATCAAGGCACTGATGGTTTGTACTGAATTGGAAAAATATTATAGCACAATATATGCATACCAATGTGTGTAAGTGTTGATTTTATTTTCACATGGCATGCTTGTTGCTAGTTAGTATAAGGACTCTTAGGTCACACCAGATGCTGCACTAATTGCGCAGCGTCTGGTGTGCAGTGCCCTGAAGAACTGATCTCAGCGGCCCCAACAACGGCCAGCACATGGTCAATGTACCCTTAATATAAAAAGAACATGCAATAATTTATTTCTAAAGCTTATTATTATGTTACAGTTTTGGCTCTTCTGTTTCCACATATAACTATAAACCTTGCTGACCAAATTCTATGTTTTCATTCACAGCTGGCCTTGTTCAGAGTTCGACTTGAATTGCATTCGCTTGATTGTTTACCAGGACTGTGAAAAAAGAGGCAGGCAGGTCTTATTTGACTCCAAAGCAGTTCATGAAATAAAAGATGAAACCACCCAGGTGAGAAAATAAATATATTGTTGATTTAGTTTAATCTTGGATCTACATTTTTTTTTTATTCATCATGTCATCATAGTAGAAAAAAAGATTGCAGGTAGAAGTCTAGCTGGGGACGAGCTGAACTAAATTAGAAATGTTGGCACTCAAAAACTTTCTGTGCCATGCTCTGTGTACAAGATTTGTGCTTGGTGTGTATCGGTTCTTACCTATGCAGTACGTAGAGATATAGGTTTTTAATGTTCTATAAATAAGTAGCATTTGCATTATTTTGGTTAATTTCGCATTTATAGGGCACTGTGATCTTCCATAACCAGTACAAAATTAGTGATGCACCATGGTTCTATAGGGAAAAAATAGCATTTTAGCATTCCTGGTCAGAAATATCTTGTAAATAACAGATATTGTAGTTTTCCATATTGTAGTTTTACTCTTCTTCAAACCTTCAGTAACCAGAAAGCCTTTCCAAATGCTTAGCATGTCTTTCCCGTCTATAAAATGGTATTCCAAGGAACTGTGACGGGAGAATTACTGGAACACAGATTGTGGGCAAATTGAAGTACCTCCATTCAAAGTCTGCATCTACACCTTCGCTTCTCAAGCTCCCTTGGAGCTTCAAAACCTTGGCCCTTTTTTTTTTTTTACATGATTATACTCCTCCTCTCCACCTGCTGTAATCTAAACTATTGGTCATTGAGGCCCACAATTATAGTTCTAGGCTAGTGGGGTTTGAAGTGCCAACATCGTCCATCCATTTGGTATTTACCTAATAGACTACAGCCATGTCCGTGCCTTAAGTCCTCTTCTGAGGCCAAATTTATACATTTAAATGCACCACCAGCCTATTTTAATGTAAACCTGCCATGAATAAAAATATGAGGGTTACCATTGCTGACCTGTAAATGCTAGTTCTCTGGATGTTTTGCTGACCCTCTGGCTTTAGTAATTTCTGTGTTACTGACCTAGTGTAGGTACGCAAATCAGGATGTCACGGTGTTGCGATGTTGTTAAATACCCAAAGAATTGAAACGAGACAACAAACCTTTTCAGTAATAAGTCAGCAAATGCAGCCTTCGTGTTTCTCTTATGACAGAGTTTATGTACAGCTATCAAAGGTGCAATTAGTACAACTATAGCCATGTCCAGGGTTCTCTATATTTAAAGATGTGCTCTACAAAGGTGCCTAGAGTTCACTTGGCCAGGACTAATTTACATTGCATTAGATCAGTGCTAACAGGTCCAGAAGTGCTTTAAACATTGTACCCTCCAAATTGGAAAAGGATGGGATGACTGTATAGCATCACATTATTATTGTTGTTATTATTATTATTATTAAATTGAAATTGTATTTATTTTTTCCGAAGCACAAGATATGAGTGCCTTTTTGTAGTTCATTTTAAAATGGCGATGCTCATAATCTCCACAGAGAATTATAATGCACCATAAAGGCATGCAACTATTAAGTTATTTTAAATAGGTCTTTCTTCTCATCAATTTGTGAGTCGATGGCATTCTGAGAGCATCAGAATAGAATTTAGTTTTGTTGAAGACAAGCACATCATGCAGAAGTGATGGAAGCAGTTGAGTTGTCAGTAGGAGATGGAAAACATGATTTGGAGATTGTAAAAGTGACACTAAACTCAGGAGTTAAATCCTAAAAACATACATTCAAATATCTTTTTAACTATGAACAAAAATGTATCTTATTTGTGTATCACTTGGCTGTGAAATTGTGATGACCTTGTCCTTCCTTCTGTAGGGTGACTACTTGTCCCTGTGTGTGTTGTAAAGTAGCCACCACTGCAAGCTCACTCCTGTGATTAGACTATAACTTCAATACAAATTAGTAAACTAAATGTGAGATTGTAGTCCATCACAGGAGAGAGCTTGGAGCGGTGACTACTTTACAACACACAGAGACCATGGGAAACTAAAGTAGCCACCCTCCAGAAGGAAGGACAGTGTCAGCATGAATTCAGACATGATTTGGGGATCTACAGCTGAGTCCTACACAAATAAACTGCATTTGTATTAATAGTTCGGGTACTTGAATGCATTTTTTAGATTTAACACCTGAGTTTAGTGTCACTTTAAAGTATGAGCCATTGCAAATGTAGTAGGCTGGAAAGTTCAAGTCCTAATGTCCCATTTGATGGTTTGAGTCATGCATTTTATTGTGTCTCGCAGTCAACAGTACTATTATTCCTGTGGTGTTTGAGATTCGGGTGCTAAAGTTGGGCAGGGTCTTTTGAGAATGTTTAGGGCCCATTCACACTATTGCAGCATGTTATCACACAATGTATATCGTGTAATAACATGTGTTTTGTTTTATTCATTTGAATGGGCTGCCTAATGCACTAAAAAGGGTGCATGTAGCATTTTTGGCAGTGCACGTTAGTCTGTTACCCTTTTCTGCAATGCAATTCTGTTGGCAAGCCAGGTCAGGGTGCCATTACTGCACCGTAGTAGTGTAAATGTGTCCTTTGGGGTAATCACTTGTTCATAGATAACACAGGAATATTTTAGCAGCCTTGTCTTCTTTTTAATTCTGGGATTGCAGAGTTATTCCATGCTTAAAGAGATGTTGTAACTTTGTACATCTTTTGAAGGTAACCAAAATATCTAAGCTGTGAATTTGACTTCCTGATGACTTGCACATTGCTATATGACCCAAGAAGAGAAGTGATTAATGTGGGAGTGTGCACAGTGCTGAGAGTGTCACATGATCACTTGAACTAGTGCCAACTAGCTATTCTTGCAATGTCTGACTGATCATCTGCTTGTGATCACAAATAGGTCAGCACTTAATGCCTGGCTGTCAGCGACTTTCATCCACAGTGACAAGGTCATGTCACGTGATTTGACGAGTCTAAGCCGTATTGAGATAACTGTAGATTATAAAGCGGTTACACCTTTAGTAATAAAATATGCAAAGTTTTCATAGTTCTCTGGAATAGATTCCTAGAGATTGTAGTGTGTGAGGTATAGTTATATGAAGTGTATGCCCTTTTTAAGATTTGTGGATATGTACAATATTGGAGATATTTGCCGTTTTCTTACTTAAAACAAGAAGCGATCTTCTGTAATGCTTAAAATGAGTGTGTACTCCTTTGAAATAGGCAGTTATATTTACTTATTGCATGCTGCGGCTTGGCTTCCTACATGCAGTTGTACTTTACTGCTTCTTCTCACAATACAGTATGTCTCATAGATTTAAGCTCCCGCCAGTGGCCAATCTTCAAATCTCTATATTAAAGAGGAACTTTACCCATATCTTCAAAATAACAGAAACACCTTTATAACTGTTTAGCAATGACAATCTACAAACAGATCCTTCTAGATAATTGCAGGCTTTTTATCCATTGCATACCTTTTTAGTTTTCTTTTCCTCCCCATTCTTCTCACTGCGGCCATTTTAACTAAGGGCTGGTCACTAGCTCTCCCTTTACTTCCTGGAACTCTGGCACATGTGACTAGGACATGTGACCATGCACATCATCTCAGGGGAGGAAATTGCCTTTCCCTGAGATCTTGTGAGATTGCAGATGAGATTTCCCAGCAATGCTCTGCTGATGTAACCTTCCCAATAGGACCAGGAAGTGGAAAAACCATCATAGAAAGTAAAAAGAAAAATCTGTTTAATGAAATTAATATCGGCATGCAGAGCTGATTTTTGGTGAAAGGGGATAAAGATCTGCTTTAATACAGTAATATGATGTGTAAGATCATGCTTGTAAAATGTTAGTCCTATAAAAAATTACTTCAAGGTATCCTCCCCATCCCTTTTCATTACTTTCCACCTTGTACTCCTCCCATCCATCCTTTTTTTTTTTTCTTCTCCTTCCCACCATCTCACCTCACCCTGTACTTCAACTAGATCCCCTAAGATACCCTCTGTGCCTCTGTAGGCTACAGTCCTTCCTAATGCCTTGACTTGTGCTGATGAATGAATCAGCAATAAGAGAGGATCTTGTGAGTGTGTTATTGTTGAGTAGCCTTTTTCATCTTTTACCGCTTTTGTTAATCCCTTACAAATGAATTGTAAATATTAAAAATAAAAGATACTTGTGGAAGAAAAAAAAATACTTTAGTGCTGCAAGCTCTCAAAATATGCCCGCACTGAAAATACTTGTTTTTTTGTTTTTTTTTCCTATTTTAAAAGTGGTTGTATCCCAGTCTTTACTGTGTTTTTATATCTCCTAAAAATCCTCTTATGTCCCTGTCAACTGAGACAGCCAGACACCTTCTGGTTGCTTCACATGCCTGTCAGTTGACCCAGACTTTGGTACAAGAGAAAGAAAAGGTGGATAATGGTTGTCTTATGCATATGGCTATCAAGGGGCAAAATTCACTTGTTTAAAGCGACAGCTTGGATGGAAGTAAAAAAATGTACGTTAACCTACTGATTCTTAATAGTCCATATAACAGAGCTGGCATCAGTCTGGTAATCGGGGACCCTGAATGCTCTTGAGTAGAGATGAGACTGGGCTTGGTGCAATCCCATTTCGTCCCAGGCCGGCTCAAAATTGTGACTGGGTCAGGAGGGGGTGAGTGACAATCAGTGGGGGCAGCTGTGGTGGGGTCATTCCCTGCCCCTTTTTGTCCTAGTTTTGAGCAGGCTTGGGCAAACTCAGGTGAACTGGGTTCACACCAAACCCGGGCTCATCAGTTGACTGGAGGCAGCGATTTATTAGTGTAATGGTGAGGTTTCTGTTTAAGTCCCTGTTCACACCCGGGCGTTTTGACACTCAAATCTAAGCACAGCAAAACTCTCAACACAAGAAATCCCATTCATTTCTATGGCCCCTGTTCACACCTGAGAGTTTTGTCACAAGCTGCCAAACGCTAGAAAAAGTACATGAGCTTTTTTTATTGGCAGATTACAGCGCATTAGGCCACATAGACTTCAATGGAAGCATGCGACACAAGTGGTTTGCACATTCTCTGTGCATTTTTGTGCATATTTGTTCTTTTACCGCAATGTATTTCAATCTGCTCAATAAACCACGCATCTTCGTGTATGTGCGTCTACGTGAGCAACAGTTTGAAAAACACGCTAAACAAAACGTACGCAAAAATGCTGACACCTTGGTGTGAACGGAGCCTGACAGTAGTTTTGCGTTTGTGCACGCATATTCAGAGAACAGACAGCTGTTCTCCAAATTAGAGAGAACTTTAATTAACCCTTTACACTTCCCACTGTCCTTTTCTAGTTCTGTTTCCTGGAGGTCTCCTTTTAAACTTCTGCCACTTTGTCCATTCACTGCAATGGCTCTTCAGGGAGGACACATTTTAATGGTTGTGTTTTTTTTCCTGTCACTGCCTTGTGTCAGGCACATGACTGCTCAGTGTACTTTCTAACAGTCTAGTGATAGTCCCATTAAAGATTGAGTAAACCAGATATCCCGGGTACTTGGTGTTAAAACCAGAGACAATTCCCAGTCTCTGCAGACGTGCTACTTGCTCCGATGTAAATTGGATCTTGACAAAACGCAAGAATGCTTTTAAGAAATGTCTTTTAACATGCCTAATTAATTCTAAAGTTAAACCTGAAATAAGGATCTCTGTGTAAAGTAAAACTAAAGCTGAACTCCAGGCAGATATAATCAGAATACCAATTAATGTGGTCTTACATTAATTACTAAATCATTAAATGTATTTTTAATGCTTCTAATGTAAGTTGTGTTAAGGTGCCCATACAGCTTGCAATCATTGGCCGATTTTCATACTGCGTCCCCATCCTGCCCAGACCATCGCACAGTTCAATTAGCGGTCTTTAGCAGAGATCACCTGGAAGAAGTTCGTTAATCGACCGCACAGATTTTTGTTTGCGCATGAGCAGTGTTAATTGTACGAATTTTGATGCACGGAAACGCCACCAACCTTGCAAAAATCGTACAATTCGACAGTTTTCTAACCTGCTGGAAAGACAAAAGTCATACGTAACTGCGGTTGTACACTGCCCATCAACCTTACGAATATTGGACGAAAACGCGATCGCAAACTAAATTCGGCTGATATTTTTAAGGCGTATGGGCACCTTTACACTCACATGTGTTAGCTGGAGAGGGGAGTGTTGGCCTCATCAGTGTGCTGCAGCGTCGTCTACACTATCCAGCTCCAGGTTGGGGGTCATAGAGTTGACCATGCTGTATTGCTAAACTGCAGCGGAAAAAGTCAACTCGCCAATCTGACTCTGCTGTCTGGCAGGGCTGTGCAGTTCTCAGGGGTAGCCCCACTGCAAGGATTAACTTAAATTTTGTCTGGAGTTCTTTTTTGTTGGTTTTTGTCTCCCATCTTATAGTAAATGGTTTTCTAAAGAGCCACTTTTTTTTCTTTATTTTTTTTAGGTTCTCAGTATGTCTTTTTAAAGAGGAATTTCACAAATGCCTCCCCTAAGAGGGGATAAAATGAACAAAAATAAAGGAGGGGGCCTCCTTTTATTTTTGTTCCTTTTATCCCCTCTTAGGGTTCATTCAGACAGACATTTGGACCTCGCAGTGACCTGCTGCTGGGAGGGGCAGGTGCAGCGTGTGAATGCTTGCAGCTGTCTGCCAACCTGCTTTTGCACATGTGTGCAGACTGTCTAAGCATCTAAGTGCATGCACCCTGACCTGCAGGTTCAGGTAGTCTTGTATCTGCGTCCTCCCACAGGGATGTACAGGTGGCTGCACACAAACGCTGCATCTCTCCATCCCTGGAGCAGATCCCTGCACGGGCGTGCATGCTGTATTGATGTGCACACCTGTGTGAATGAGCCCTTACCTGGTTTCTCACCAGAAAACATACTCGCCTGCCCAGCAAATCCAGTGTTGGCCTGCTGTGATCTGATGATCACTACCACAGTTCTGGTCCCGTGCCATCATTTTCTTCTGTGACATCATCAAGAGCCAGTGGTCTCTTCCTGGGTTCTGCAGCGGACCCCTGATGCAACATGGCCAGGTCCTCCAACTGGCTGCTGTGATACCCGGGGATATGTGATGGGGATATCCCAGGAGGATGCAGTAGCAGGGACACGGCTGGGATATGGGGCCAAACAAAAAGGGAGGGGGGGTGCATTTCAGGGAGCTAGAGCAAAACTGGAGAGTAAAGGTCCTTTTAAGCTTGGTTATCCTATTGTCAGCTAGATGGATTTATACCTGTCTGTTTTATGGGATGGGGGGGTTTCCCCAAGTGAGGCAGTAATGAGTGAAAGCAAACACCGTAAAATGAACTTTTCAGTAAAACCATTATAGTCCGCCTAAGAGTAAAACGGGAAAATCTCCTCAATGTTAACCTAAAGTAATAATCTAATCCATAAAATGACTGTTTTCTACAGAGAATCGGAGAAGATGCTACAGCAAAGACAAAATCCTGTCAGACCAGCAGCAGTGGAACCTGCACCATCTCTTCACAAAGTAAATCATCCGCACATGCTCAGCCTGCTAGGGAAACCCTGCCCAAGTACCAGGTAATATAGATTCCATAACTGGATGGTGTGTATGGGAGGTTCCTGAGTTTCACATATTAGCTGTACATCTACTCTAGTGTGTAACATTTCCTTTTATTGCTTGTGTGTAATGAAGAGAGTCTACACTGGACTGTGACCTGAATGTATACAGAGGCATGCACATTCATTTTGCTTCAACTGTTACCAGTAATGGTAATCTCCATGAAAGGCCTAGTAGCCCAACATCTAGCTGGTAACTAAAAGTGTACTTTTGTAATCATTTTCGTTTTGGCAGCTTTAAAGGAAAAAGGGATCGAGTGGGATTAGCGCAGAAGTGAATTTATATTTAATCGTCATCACTTAACAGCAGTATTGCAAAACACTGCTCGATCTTTACAGGCCTGCTTCCTCAGCCCCTAAGTGTAGATAGGCAGAAGAATAGACTACTAGTAAAATGTATTGTAGCACTTTGTTACCTGAAAAGAAAATAATAATAAAAGGGTAAAATATTGTGATAGAATCATTCTGGAGTCATGTTGGAGGAGAAGCTCCTTTACATGAATGTTGTCATTGTATGATTTGTTATAGAAATATTTAACACCTATTGCAATAGGTATTTATTCATATGATGTACCTCAAAGCCACATGTAAGGCCAACACCTGCTTTGCAATAGTATACGACTGCATTATTCATTAATATCATGTTTTAAGTTGGAATCCCAACAGTAATTGGATCTCGCTATGTGTTGAACTTTACCTGTCAGGACCTGCTTATTCTGAGGGAAAATAAATAGCGATCAGTCATAAATACCTAGAAGGGTTGATTTCTACTTCTCCTGAAATGAGTCTCAGCAGTGCCTGAAACCATCTGTAGGTGTCATTAGACATGGAGAGCATTGCTAAGCTCATGTCATGTCTGTGGTTACCTACCATTACTTGTTTGATATGTATATTTGCTAAACATAGACTTTTAATGTAGGGGGGTACTAACAAATGTATTTTGGTTTGTTTTCTATGCATGCAAACAGCTGAATGCTAACACTGCATTCACACCGGTTGTTTTAGGATTCCTGCGGCAAGAACCTACTGATTTTTGCTGCAGGAATCCCAGGTGTCCCTGTTCAGATGTGGCCTCTGTACCTATTCAAGTTTATGACAGGGTGACAGCAGCCGCATCTGTCAACGGAAGTCCGCATGTAATTGTACATGGTATTAATTTACGTGGTTCAGGATAGATGATTGTTGCTGGACACATCTATCCTGCATCCGCTGACAATCATCTATCGTAAACCACATGTAGTCATACTGTGTACAATTACGTGTGAGTGACTGCTGTCACCCTTTCATCAACTTGAATGGGTAAGGTGGCTGTACCTGGGATTTAGGCTGCGTTCTGGGATTCCTGCCCGAAGAATCTACAGATTCTTAAGGGAAGAAATCCCAGAACGCAGCCTACATCTGTGTAAATGGTACCTAACTGAAGCCTTTTGGCAAAAAAGGTAAATGGCTGGTTAGGTCTGCTGCTTTTTCACTTTTGTGCTAACTGACATTTCTCCACAGTACAGCAAACCAGCCTCTGATGTTAACATGCTGGGAGAGATGATGTTTGGCTCAGTTGCAATGAGCTACAAGGGCTCAACATTAAAGATTCATTTAATCAGGTAGGTAAAGGAACCGTGCTGTTTATATTGACTTGGCTATAAAAAATTTCTATAATCGCGTTGTACTTCTTTTATGTCTCAAGTCAATGTGGCTGATTTATGAAAGGAGTAAAGCGTGTTTTTACTTCATAAGGGAATTTCACTTGGCACAGCTTTACCTCATTTACTTAGCTTATCATAGCTTTGCTTTTTATCATACAATCAATCAGGTTCGAGCAAAAAAATCCTGTTTTGTTTTTCTTTTGGTTTTTCTTGCAACCTAATTGGGAATTTTTTGCAATATGTATTTTAGCTACTTTCAAGGTAAGTAAAAATTCTCTTGCAGTCGTTTTGCAAAGTGAACATAGTCTACCCCTTTAGTAAATCAGTCACAGAGTCTTGGTGAGACAGCATTGAATCACTATGATCTTATATTTTCTTGGGAAACAATATGCAGGTGTTTGATTATAAAGGGAAAGCTGCTTATCAGTGTGTTTGGCTGATTTCCATTCAGTGGGTGGATCACCTACTACTTGCATATCTTGATTCTTTTCCTAAAACATGGATATGGGCAGTGTCGTACACAGTCCCTGAGTCATTAGTAAATATTGTGTGCGTTTCCATGACCACAGTGGTATTGCTTAGACTTTGGAAATGGCTCCGTAATGTACGTTGTCACTTTCAGTTTTGTCATAATGTTTGAGTTATCTATTTACAGCTGAACACCAGCCTCACCTTTTTAAGCTAGGCATGCACGGGCTAAACAAGTGAAATCCATTGATTTTTCCCCCATACACGTAATCCTCCTGCCAGCTATTGTATCCAGACAGAGGGTACCCTGGACTGTCTGGATACCCAAACAGTGACTGCATCTTATACTGTCACTGTGCAGCCATCAATTTTCCATCTGGCTCCTTTGAATGTGTAGTCAAGGTTTGTGGAGCCAGGTCGTGCTGACAGGGTCACTGACGGCTCATATTTGGATAGATTCACCAGGGATCAGCTGAAATTTGAGCCATGTATGGCCAGATTAGGGGCTAGTTCACACCAGCCGCAGTGCGTTCCAGCCCGATTGGGGCCGGAATGCACTGGATCGCATTCCGGCCGGCTCACTTTGTTTTGTGGCGGGAGGGGGCATGGCGGTGCATTTGAAGTCAATGGCACCACAGCCACACCCTCCGGCCGCAATGAGATCACCCACATCGGAACGTGTGGCACATCAGTGCCTGCATTCTGTTCCAGTGCAATCAGAAAAACTACTGCAAGCACTATTTTTTTTTCTGATTGCACCGGACCTGAACGCAGGCACCAATGTACCACACATTCTGGTGCGGGCGATCGCATGAGGAGGAACCAGGGAAGGCAACATAGAAGCAGTTTCAACTTCAGCTTTAGATGATTCTAATTGCATTGGCTATAACATCTTTGTCAGTGAACTGGAGACTATATTTTTTCAAATAGCATTACTTTTTTTTTTTAGATGCCTTGACATACACCCATTTAAAGATAACATACACCCATTTAAAAACACATACTCTGTGTTTAGCCATTCAGTTAGTGATGGCTGGCTACTAACTATCTCCTTGCACACCTTTCTTCCAATCAAAATTCTTACAGCCATTTTATTTTCTGATAGGGAGCCTATACTGAGAGACTTCATAGCATCTCTATATGCAGTATATGCATGTATGCAGTTTGTTATGCATACTATGCTTTAAGTGTATTTGTTTTATTCTATGTGTTACGATGTGATAACACATGTCTCTTTTGCCAGATGCCCTGTTCAGCTGATGATCAGTAAAGTGTTCTCTGCCAAAGTTGGAGGGTTGAATTGCAGCACAACAACGTAAGATTTACCTTCTCTTGCTGGTAACTGGTATGATGACCTGATGCACTTGATATCTGAATGTTGGCGGATGGAAAACAATTGATCAATGTATTAGCAGATTTAAGGACTTTTAGTAGACTTTGTACCAGGGATGTACAGATACTAGTGTCTGTGCCGATAACGAGTATTTGGGCAAGTACTCATACTGTTCAATGCTCCACTACTTACCTCCGATACCGGAACTTCTGGTCAGAGGGAGATCTCCCTCTGACTGCAAGTGCCGAGGGAGCATGGAGCCGGCTTCCTTTCCATTCGGGGAGGCGGGTCATGACGTGCCACATCCTGACTTGCGGCGCGGCTTCCAAATTGGTCAGGAAGCCACGCTACCTAGCAACAAGTGATGCTGGCTTCCTAGCTAATCAGGAGGCGGGTGGCTTCCTTATTGGCTAGGAAGCCAGCGCCACTTGTTGCTAGGCAGCCCGGCTTCCTGACCAATAAGGAAGCCGGATGGCACCTCATGACTCGCTGCCAGGCTACCTGATTTGGTCAGGAAGCCAGGCAGCCTCGGCAAGTGAAGCTGGTGTTCTTTTGCTAGAATCCCGGCTTCATAGGCAATCAGGAAGCCGGCAACGGGTCATGAGACGCCACCCAACTTCGTTATAATCTGGGCACTCCGGACCAGTACTCGGTAATGGCGAGTATAAAAAAAAAAATCGGTACTCCTATACTGAAAAAAATGGTATTGGTGCATCCCTACTTTGTACTTTTTACTATTCTCTTTCAAAAGTTACCCCTCAAGTCTTGTACTTAACTGTCCTAGCTCCACAGTGCAGCAGCTAGGTCAACTGCTTAAAGGATAACTGTACTAAATGGTTTTTTTTTTCGTATTTCAATTTCTCCAGCAGTAAAGTTACCTGTAGTTTGATAGAAGCCCTCGTCCATCTGGGTGTGTTGCATTAATGCACATATGTTATGGCAGACTGTTCATTTGTAGTAGAGGGTTACCTGTGTTGTAGTTCACTGTAAGTTAAATCATGTTCAGAATGTCTTTAAAGTGACACTAAACTCTGGAGTTTATTCTTAAAAATGCATTTAAGTACCTTTTAATTATTAACAAAAATGTATCTTATTTGTGTATGACTCGGCTCTAGATCTTCAAATCATCTCTGAATTGGTGCTGACAATGTCCTTCCTTCTGGAGGGTGGCTACCTTTGTTCCCCATGGTCCCTGTGTGTGTTGTAAAGTAGCCACCGCTCCAAACTCACCCCGGTGATGAGACTACAATCATGTTTAGTTTACTCTTTTGTATTGAGATTATATTCCTTCACATGAGTGAGCTTGGAGCAGTGGCTACTTTACAACACACACATATCCATGTTAAGCAATTAATGGCCTTGCAAATATGATTTAATGTAGTCTTGTCCTCCTGGTACAGGACTGCCTTTGGAGACCTACATATTTTTAAGTGAATTGTCTTTCTGCTGGACAATAATCCTTCTATAACAGATTACATTACCTCTATAATCCATGAGATGCTGGTTGATGATTTGTCTTTCTGTTCTTATTGCTAATTTTTCTCTGCTTTGTTTAGGTTTCAGGACAGTCTAGAAAACATCAGTCATGATGGCACTGTCAGACTAGGTGTGAGCCAGACTGGGCAAGGACTATGCGGATCTAATCTAGGTATATTGTACATGTAAAAGATTTTGGTGTTGCCATTTTCAGCCCTTTTACAACTGTCACTCCATGATGTACAGATGCTTACAGATTTCTCTATAACATTCATGGATTTACAGACATTTAAGGGATCAGTCCACCCGAAATATACACGTCAGTAGAGCCAGAGTAAATGTTTTCACCACATTTGGCAAAATAAGATGCCAACGTGTGCTTTAGCCCATTAACTTCTGTCATTTAAATATGAATCTTGGATGGATGGATGGACCTGTCGCATCCTTAAATGTTAGAAGTACATATGCAGCATACTTTGCCAAGGCACAGCCCCAAGGCAATCTGAATATGACAAATGTCACCATGTCTTAGCAGTTTACTTTGTTCCACTTCAGGGGTATTCAACTACCAGTTTAGATCCCAGAATATGTTTTTAAAAAACTACTGATTTATCCAGTACATAGTTTATTCAGGCGGGAACTGGGGTCTTAAAATATGTCATGAGGGATAATAGTGTCCACTACAATATATTTGAATAGTTGCCAAAATGTAAAAACAGTATTGAAAATAATGACCGTTTGAATATTTAAGAATAGTAAACTCTATTATTGTCAGAATAGCTTGCTTTGCCTATCATACAAATGTGTTGTCATCCTATGTGCCCCTTAGGTGCATGTATTTGAAATATGGATATAGGAAAAGAAATTGCCTTCAGAATAAATGGAATAAACATTTGTTCAGCTGTCCTATTCTTTGGCTATTAAATTACAGTAGCCACTACTGTCATTTTATTTGGAGATGCTTTCATCTCCAGTGTGGAACTGTAGCTTCTGTGCCCAGGACTTCGCATGGCACCTTTCCCCTTGTTTTATGTATTGCTTATTTTTTTTTGCTTTTTGTTCTTCTTTTTAAATGTTTGCCTCCAATCCCTGTTCTAGGTATTTTGCAGATGTGTGGCAGCAAATTGTTGCCCTCCATGTTTGAAGCACGCCCACTCCGGCTCATTCGGAGTGCCTCTTTCTTTGCAGGTTTGTGTGGAATGCTGAGTACGGTGGAAGCCACAAACACACACCGCAGCCTGTGTGATCTGAACCCACAAAACCATATATTACTTCACAATTACATTGGGTCTCACTATCGCTGCATGCATATCAGCCACAGTCACTCTTTTTTTATGGTCTTCAAATATTTTTTTACTGAATGATGCAATATTTGTTTTTATGTACCCATCTTTCCAAACTGGCATTGCTTTCCATCTATCTTGGGGACTCTTGTGGTCAAATCTTTCCATCACAGATTCTCCTGTCAAAAATGCTTTTTTGTTTGTTTTTTTGCATCTGCAAGTGTGAAATGGAATTACACCAATAACTGCTCAGATGGGAAATAATAGTTTTGGTTGGGCTGGAGCATTCATTTCTATTTATCATTCCACATATTTACTTGCATTATCATGATTGAATAATAGTTACATAGTTAGGTTGAAAAAGACACTATTGAGTTCAACCTATAGATAAGGGGGGGAAAGATGAATGAATGACTAGAAAACCTCCTTAAACAGAACCGTATACCCACAGTTGACCCAGAGGAAGACAAACAGAACCTAAAAGCATGGTCCAATGTGCTCTAACAGGGAAAAAAATCCTTTTGTATCCCCTACGGCACTGCTGACTCTTTTCTGAGAAAGCAAGTTCCTTGGCTGTCAGGCTGATGTTTTTGATTTCAATACCTCAAGCTCTTAACTTTGGAACAAGTATATGGATAAGGAATCTTTTTTTATTTTTTTTACTTTGCCTAGCTGCATTCTTGCCAGGAAATTGGCATTCTCAAGGGCAGCAGTGGCAGCCCCTTTTGTTTTTCCAATGACAGATGTCAGTATTAACCTCCTGTATTTTTTGGGGACTTAAGAGAATGCACTGTACATCGGTGATAAAATATAGGAACTTATCATAATCTTTTGTTTTTTAGAACATTCACATTATGCTTTGTAGTCCACAAAACACATTGGGGGGGAATTTATCAATACTGCAGCAGACTGAATCTGGAGCAGTTGTCCAGGGCAACCAATCAGCTTCTCGCTTCAGTTTGTTCAGTTAAGATTTGAAGCTGAAAGAGAGAAGCTGATTGGTTGCAGTGCACAGCTGCTCCAGATTTTGTCGGCTCCAATTTTGATAAATTCCCCTCATTGTTTTTTTAAAATGTAATTTTTTTTAATTTCACATGAGCCCTTGTAATTCTGAAAGAATTTATGGTTATATTTGATTTATAATTTTTTTTTTAAATCTTGGTGGTGCTAGATGTATTGAATTAATTTCTAATGAACTAACATTTAAAGTGGGCCCGCCATTTTCCACCTGTTTAAACAAAGAATGGAGTTGCTTTTAAAAAAGGAACATAAGCTGGTATATTGGAAACTGTATGTTTACTTTGCAGAGAGAATGATGGTGAATAAGATGAGGTTGTGTTCATTTTGAGCACCAAATCATATGTGAGGGAATAAAATAAAATAAAAAGGTTTCTTGCAAACACTTGATTGGGTATTCGAACTGCACACGGATTTACCTTATTTGCCAGCATTCATTTTGCAAAGTGAACATTCCTGGTGCTTAGTAAACCGCTTCTATTCCTTTAACAAATCAACTCCAATGTTTCCCTTTGTTTCTGCCCATGGTCATCTTGATCTGTAATGGCACTTCTGTTCTGCTAGTAAAGAAGCAGTGACGGCATTATTGATGCTCCAACTGCTCTCTTGCCAGCTGCTCCTGGTCAGATGAAACCAAAATGAAATTTTAAACTAGTTGGGCAACACTTCAAATTATTCCTTACTTTTCCATGAAGGGCCTGCTTTAAATCACCAGTGGGGAATTTGATATTTCAATCTGGATTTCTGAGAGCTTAGCACCAAAGATCACCCATGATGGCTTAGGTTGTAAACTGCAGTGTGCTTGGCTCATCAAGCCACCTGTAAATTACACGAAATGTATGTTTGTTTACTGCTTCTAAGAAACCTATGCCAGTCTTATTACATCATTGTAATAGTGTTGGCATGTGTATGAATTCCACAAACTGAGATGGGGAGATAGTTTGGTCCAACTGTCTCCGGTGACCTCAAGAAAATCATAAATATCAATGTTTTATTTCAATGCTTGACCATACAAGTGAGATGAGTAGACTGCAGTTTATTGGAAAATGAAATGCATGCAATTTGGTGGAGGTGTTGGCTTGCTTCACTGATGGCTTGATGGTGACTTGTTTGGTGGACACAACAGATTTTGCAATTCTGCACTGTATTACCCTGGCAAAAGTATGGAGTAAATAATACTAAAGTATAACTTTTACCTAATGGTTCACCTTCCCCAGCCTGCAGAATACAGGGAGTCCATCATTAACAACCTAGAGAAAGGAGGATTTAAAATGTTAAGGGGAGCTGGCCAGTGAAAACCAGTAAAAAAACAACACGGCTGGACTTGTGGAAGAGCATAAACCAAAGAGTAATGACATGCCTTAACGCACAGCATCCAATCAGAAAATAACCTTTCAGTAGCTAACATCTGATTGGCTGCTCTGAATGTTAACAGCACTGTTTTACACTGTTCCTAAATAAAGCTAAATGGTGACTTACCTACTCAGATTGTCAATGATGACAAAAAAAAATGGGCATGAAATCCCACAGTGCATTATGGGAAGGTGTAAACGATGGTAAAACTATGCTTTAGGTAACATTGCTCTTAAACAGGCTAATTTTTCCCACCCCCCGCCTTTTCATTGTGCATTTGTATGCTGTGAATTTTTCTTTGAGATTAAAATGTTCACATTTGTTATGGTTTTCCTCTCTATGCAGCTCACAGCACACCAGTGGATATGCCCAGCAGAGGGCAGAATGAAGACAAGGACAGCGGCATTGCACGATCAGGTATCCTCAGTGTTCTGTATTTTCACTCTGGTTTATACATATGGTGATATGGACCTTGGACGTTCCATCCTGTTACCAGATGCCATTTTATTCTTTCTGCAATTCAAGTAGGATATGGGACTTCTGTTTTGCACACCAAGGGTCTTCCTGTTTTAATGTATAATATTGATGTAGCTGATTAGACTTACCATCTTTTCTGTTGTAATGTAAAACATATCCTCTGAATAGACTGCGTGCTTGGTGTTTTGGATATAGCACTGGACAAACCCCACGAGCCAAAAGGACAAATTTTCCTTTTGTTGTTAATGGAATGTTGCTTGGCTGGGGTAACTGGTTCCTGAATTCTTTTTTTTCTAATTACAACATTTTTTTTTTTGCAAAAAAAACAAAACCAGTGTACAGGCCCGTTAGCATCAGGCGCATCGAAATGGACAAATAGTGCATACAATAAAGAGGGAGTATTACAAAATATCACATGTAGAGAGGTAAGAACAGCCGACCTTAGTGTTAGCAACATTAGTTAAACTATGCAAAATGTGACCGCAACGTATTCATTAAAATACGGTATTACCAGAGAAAAAGGAAAAAGGGTGTCGCCATTCCTTTCCATCAATTTATAACAACTTATCCAGTGGAGCACATGTGTCTTGCGTTCCTTCTATCCCATATTTTGTGGAACTTCTTTTCACAGGCACCGTGTTTATAAAGCAAAGTTTTAAAGGGGATAGAGGCATTTAGCTTCCGCTTTCATTGATCTATAGTGGGCGGCATTGTCTAGATCCATAATCTGGCAATCCATTTTCTTACCACATACAGAGTTAGATGGATGAAAACAGTGGTATATTTGTCTACATCTGTAGCACAGGGTATACCTAAGAGGTATAGTTTGGGGTCTAAAGCCACTGGCGAGCCCATCACATCATGAAGAATGTAACAATTTGTTGCCAGTAGTCCAAGTACAATAACACATGGCCATATCATGTGATGGAAAGATCAGAGTGCATTCTGACACTTGGGACACAGCGGATTATAATTGGGTTTAATTTTTAAAAAACAGTTAGGTGTAAGGTAAGGTCAATGCAAAATATAGAGGTGCATACATTTTCCTGAATTCTATTTTAACTTTATTTTAACTTTATATCATAGCACTGATTCTCAGCACTGATTCTCAGCCTTTGTGTTTTATTGGTGGGATATGTTTGTTGGGTCTGGTATGCTGTGTAGTGTTTGCTAGGATGGTCATGTTATGTTGGTTTCTGCTGTGTGCTCCTTAGTCTTACTGAAGATTATCATGAAGTCATGCAACGCCAACAAAATTGCTCCTGTATCATACTAGTATTTTGAGGTAGTATTAGAAGTATTGTATGTTTGTTTGATAGTTATCTCTTAGGGCCTTTTTTTATATTTATTGAACTTATTTTTTTTAATTAAAATTAGCAGTGCATGGTCTGGCCAGCACTGCCATGATTTTTTTTATTAACCATCTCTTGACCGGCCTTTGTAAACACAGAAGTTTAATGATTTCTGCTGTAATATCTGTATATACACTAACAGATGTTTCTTTTATCTTGACCTTTTGTTATAGCATCTCTAAGCAGTCTTCTGATTACTCCTCTTCCTTCACCAAGCACATCATTTTCAAGTAACTATGCCAGCAGCTATCAGCGGCGATTGTTGAGAAGTCAAACCACCAGTCTAGAAAATGGTGTTGTTCCACGGTGGTAAGTTTTTTTTTTGTTTTTTTTTTGATCAATCACTCAAGGCACACGCACACACCTCTCTCTATAGTCTGTTTTGCTAGATGCTGCACGCATTGTTTTCACTTAACAGCCTAGATATTAGTGGATTGCATGTAACATATATGAAATAGGATTACATTTGCTGTATGGTGTCATAGGTCTTCCTAACATCAGAAGCTTAACCTAACCTTAAAACTTACATTTAACTTAGTCTTATCTCTAATCCTACCTGTAGTTAAGCCAATCCCCCAAAGATATCAAAGCCACTAAACCTTATAACCTCTTCCTAACCTTCCTAACCCTTAATCTATCACAACTCATAAAATGATACAGCAAAATCTTTTCAAAAAGATCAAAGCAAACAGAAATTTGTCAAAATTGCCCCGAATTCAAAACGTTCTGCTTCCAGATTCAAAAATGAATGATCCCATTCTAGGATACACAGTATGCTTGCAGTTTGTAAGTTTACAGTCTTGTCTTATATTGTCCCCCAGTATTGTTTAAATAGGGGTCTCTTGGCCAATTCCCATCATTTATCATAATGTTCAGTGTTAGGAAAGTGGTCTCTTAACTGTATCTTGGATGTCAAAAAAAAATCTTATAAAGCTCTGTCAGTGTTTCTGCTTTATCAGCATAGTAATTCACATTCTGGACAAACTTAATCTAGTAGAGTCCTTTTTGGCTGGTTTAAAAAAAAAAAAATGTGTTGCTTTCTCCTATAATCTTTTATGATCTGGTGTGCAGGTCAACAGAAGAGACTTTTAGTATGACGGATGAGAGTTACTCTGCAAACCCGGCAATGATTGGCCGCAAGAAGATTGCAATCAGCATCATCTTTTCTTTGTCTAAAGAGGAGCAAGCCCAAAGGAATTTCCAGGACTTCTTTTTCTCCCACTTTCCTTTGTTTGAGTCTCACATGAACAAACTAAAGTCATCTATAGAAAGGGTAATACAATTGGCCCTTATCCTTTACTGCATATGTTTGGGATTCAGACAGTTGCTGATTGTGAGGTGAACTATAGATCTTGCCAGGAGTATGTAGTGTTTTGTGTATGATGGGGGTCAGCATGTTTGTTGAAGCTAATTTATGTGCATTTGACAAGAATATGATTGCGCCACCACCTTTTCCAATATAGGAGCTCTGGGTACAACCACTTCATATAACCCAGCATGACAGTGTGGAAAGTGCATCATTAGGGTGGAGGGTCACATATGCATCGTTGTACTAAATGTGTAAGCTTACCATATTTTAGCAACTAATAAGTTCTTTGGGGTCACACCAAAAATGGCATTAACGCATAAGCAGTAATACAGCCTTTCATTCTATTTGCAATGGAAGTTTGGGTGGTCTGCACAACATGCTTATTCTAAACTTTAATCATGTGCATATGTTGTATCAGTAGCAGTGGTATACAACATTGTTGCACTATACATATCCCACATAAACACCATTGATGTGAAAGAAAATTTGTGGTAGCTGCTGCTATTGCACTTAGAGTGTTAACAGAGGTAAGTGTCAAAGTCTTTTCATATCACAAAAGTACTAATGATCACCTCCCTGGGCTGACATGAGCATAGAGGATTTAATTGCTCAATAATTCACTTGTGTCTCAGATTGCTGGGCAATTTCTCCTATTTAAGTATAACTAAACCTGAAAACAAAAGTGTATTATATTGCAGCTTACCAGTCCTTAGATGTGGTAACTGCATTCGTTTTCAGGCTAAGAACATTTTTTAGTAAGTGCACTAAATAGCTGTTTTGATCCTGCCAGAAATTCAATTTCCTTGTTACTTCCTGTTGGATGAAACGGAAGCAAAAACAATGTTGACTATCTTGTGTAAACTACTAAACCCAGCAGTTCCCCTCCCCACACATGTAATGGAGATAAACAACGGTAGACATGTTTTGAAGTTTAGTCTGTGTTGGACAGGAAGCATACCCCTGTAAGGTTAATCTCTTCATGATAATTACTAAACAGTCTTGCAGAGATCTGTAGTAGCACTATGTAGCAGGTCTCTAGAATAATTACCTAGATGAAGGATGTCTGTGTGTGTGTCTCTCCCATTGTATGGTATGCATTTCAGAACTAGACATTGTAGTAAATCACTGTTTAAGCCTCCTTTTTTCAAATTCTTATTCTTCAGGCCATGATCACATGCAGGAAGATTACTGAATCAAGTCAGCGGGTACAAGTCTATCTCAGCCAGATCATGGATGCCTTGGGACAGTTTAGGTAGGCTCTTAGAGTGATAGTATGAAGCTGTTGTAACTACTGCAATGGTCCTAAGAAGCTGTTGTATAAAGCTCATTAAATCCTTTTTTTGATCATGTTAATCCTGTAATGCTATTGTGATTTGTTCATTTACAGTAAAGCTATTGGAATACAGTTTTCTATGATACAGTTATGACTTAATGAGTTAATGATGGCATAATATGTTATGGATGTGGTCTTCCAACATAAAAATTTGACATTCTTGATTTACTTTTGTTACCCTAGTATTAAGTGGTGATGTTATTGTCATTAACAATTAATAAGGTGAAGATTAATATTCAGAGAGTAGGAACCATTAGTGCTCTATCAATAATCCCTCTCCTAACCATGCATCTAAAATACAGCGCTGCATGACGGAATAAACGTCAGTCAAAGTACCGCAGCGCTGAATACTGAAAAATGGCCTGGCCAGGAAGGGGGTCTAAACACCTGGTCTTGAAGTGGTTACCATTTGGAGTGAATTGATCAGAATCTGGAGCAGTTGTCTAAAGTAACCTATGAGCTTTTCTCTTCAGTTTGTTAAGTTAAGCTTTGAAAATGGAAGCTAGAAGCTGGTTGGTTCCTATGGACAACTGCCCCAGATTTTGTCCCGTGCAAATTTCCCTTCGTTATATTTCCTCCCTTTTTTTTGCTTCCATAAAATTATTTTCCATTTGATCTCAGGCTGCCCTGTGCCTTTTTTTTCAGCTCGCATTCAAAACTGGTTCCCAGCTGACCACTCTCTAGAGCATCTCCCTTGGTTCTTGCTGTGCTTCATTCATCCAATCTAGTCTAAATAGCTATGAAATTGGTGCCCAGAATCCAATGCTGTGTTCACTTCTGTCCATGCTAGCCTCCCAAATAGTGATAGCCATATTAAATCTTCAAGTGACCAGCACTGCTTTATGAAGAGCTGCATAGGTGACTAGGGACAACATGGCACCACTTGGTCTGCCAAGCACCATCCTAAACTGCTGAAACTGAAATGTAGTTGTGGGTTATTGTGTTGTATGCTTCACCATTGCTTTTTCCACTGCCTTTTTAAAATGCAGCTCCACACAACAAGGGAAAGATTGATTGTTATTTTTAAGTTGTTTTTTTTTATAAATAAGCATTTAATACTTGAAAGATTTCTCAAGAAACAATAAATATTGCCAACTTAGTGGACAACAGTTCCTTGAGTAACTAGAAAGCTGCAGGAAAAGCTTTTAATTGTTCTGTTTCTTATTAGGGAGACTATCTGGAATCTGTACTGTGCCCCTCGAATTGCCGAACCAGTGTGGCTCACCATGATGTCCAGCACTACTGAGAAAAGTCAGCTGTGCCAGCATTTCCTCAAAGAGCTGACCTATCTAATTGAGCAACGTAATAAGAACCAGTAAGTACATCTCCACCTCTGTTCATTTGTAAACACTTTTATTGTATGTGTACACAGCAAATAGTCAAAGTGGTCTATGTGCTTTTATGTACACATACTTGTTAAATGACCGTAGTGTTCTTTGTCCTATTATATAAGGTAGTATTTTGCCAAAAGCGTAGGCTGCCCATAACACCCTGCTTGGCATCAGTTGCCGTATTTTGTCTGAGATGTTTATGTTGCAAAACTGTTTTGTAGTCTGCCAGGTGGTGTACTGTTTACCTCAATGGAGGCAGCCTAGATAGAGAAATAAATGTGCTTAACTGAATCGCCCACATAAATCTAGAAATGTCATTTTATAGGAGTATAATAATATACTTGTTAGGGATACCAGCCCTTGATTATAACTATAATTGTATGAGATGGTCTTTGTGTTCCAAGTAATGGCTAGGTCTGTTCAATGTATCCTTTGTATTACTAGGAACTCGGATGTTTATTATTTAAAAACAATTACAATAATTAATGGTCCACTTAATGTAGAAGGTGAAAGTGTTTACCGTGGAATAGCCATTGACTGGTGTCTTCATCCTGCTTTTTGTATTCTTTATTTTTATGTATCAAGGTGATTTAAACAAAAAGTGTTGCAAGTTTGTTGGAATATTCTCCTCTTGTTTCCTTCCTATGGACCTTTAAAAATGATTAGTTTTTTTTGTATTCCCACCATTTAAGTTTTTTAAGGAGCATTCTTTTATCTCGCCACCAAATTTTTTTCTCAGCCGTGAAGCTTCAGAAAATGTAATGTGGTTCCTGCCATTTTTTCTTTCACTTAAATAATGTGGATAAACAAACATGCTTTCTTTTTTTTCTTTTTCAGGTTTTTTTCAGCCCTTCTCACTGCAGTTTTAACTTACCACTTGGCATGGGTTCCCACAGTAATGCCAAATGACCATCCACCTATAAAGTCTTTTAGTGAAAAGCACACTTCTCAGTCTGTCAGTCTGCTGGCAAAGTCACATCCTTATAACCCTCTCTGGGCACAACTTGGTGAGTATTGGTCACTTGTAGGGTAAAAGGCTTTTGACATATTGTTTCACTGGTTGCTGTTTTCACAAATATCCCATTTGCCTACTACTCTGCTTTTGTTATATACTCTCATAGGAGACCTTTATGGGGCCATCGGATCTCCAGTTAGAATGACTCGCACTGTTGTGGTTGGAAAACGCAAGGACTTGGTCCAGCGCATTCTCTATATCCTCACTTATTTCATCCGCTGCTCAGAGCTGCAGGAAAATCATTTGATGCGGGACAGGGTCTTAAAGAATGGAGAACAGGTGGTACAGGGCAGCAATGTCACAACCTCTCTGGAGAAGGGAGAAGTGGAAGAATCGGAGTATGTACTTGTGACTTTAAACAATGAATCTGCGCTGGTCTCCCCGCCACTACCTTCTAACACAGGCTCTGCGTGCACTGTTAAATCTAGCGGATCTGAGGCTTCTGACATTTCCTTGAAGGTGACTAGCAGGGAGAATTCTCTTCAAGCAGAAAGTGACTACCAGACACCTTCAGGAGTAACTAACAATGAATCTGCTTCAAGTTATGTTGGCTCTTGCAGAGAAAATACAACATTAATTAAAGAAGCCAAAGTGGAGACATTGGTTTGCGTCACCAGAACTCCAGTGTATAACACTGAAGACTCTCTTATTCCACAGCCTATAACATCCCAAGCTAAAGGTCAGCATCGGGCCAGCAAATCTAATCATGAGATGGATGCTTCAGTGAAACTGTCAGACTGGGCAAAAGAAATTCTGTGTGCTGACAGAACAGGTGAACCTTCCCCACCACAGAAGGTGACCTTTAAAATGGGCTCTTCTCCCTCTCCAGACAATGACTTGGAGCTGTACAGAAAAGAGCTGGAAGGAAATGTTAAATCTCTGGGTTTTGACTCCTCGCGGTCATCTGCAGATAATGACTCGCTTGCGGCTCACAGAAAAAAGATTTTGTGCTCACGGATTCCATCTTGTGAGGAAGGTTCCAGTATCTTTGATGAATATTTTGTGGATGGTAACAGTATTGAAACAAATACAGTAGACAGCCTTCCTCCTCACCCCTTATCAGAAAAGTGTTTTGCATCTAGTGAAATATCTGCAGCTAACTGTAGTATGCCTGCTAAGGACTTAATTAATGCTGCACAGGCAGGGTTTGGTATGTGCCCTGGGCAGACAGCCTCTCTAGATGTCCCCTGTGGGGACCAAGGCAGAAGGACTGAAGTCCGAGCAGAGGGAGACATTCCAAGGAATGAAAGTTGTGACAGTGCCCTCGGCCAGAGTGACGAAGAAGCAAACAATTGTTACAGCATGTCAGAAAATTGGGACCATGGTGATCATGTAGAGGTGGAACTTCCACTGCCTAGGTGAGGACATGTCAAATAATTTCCTGTTTTTATGTGTTGTAGAAATATAGTTATTTTATCAAGTTTGCTTAAAATTGATGGACTAATGTCTTTATTCAACCTCAAATACTATGTAACTATGTAATTTTGTGGAAATTTTTATTAAATTGCTGCGGTTAAAGAAGAACTCTGAGAATTAGAAAAAGAAATACCCTTGTAATCAGGCTACCTCTGTACTGTATAAAGTTAAGTGCTCGTTTTGTCTGGGGGGCTCAAATTAGGCAGATATTGTCACTTCATCCTCAGTCCTGTTGGGCTGCTAGGCTGGTCCTCCAGCCTCTTCTCCCCTGGGACAACTCTAAGGACCATTGATGTCATTATGTCTAATCCCAGTCAATCAGCTTTCATTAGACGTGAGGACACCGAGAGAACTGCAACGGGGGGAAAGGGGGGAGCGCCCAATTCCTGGAGTTTAAAATCCTAGAATTATGTGATGCAAAGCACTGTGATATGCAGTAACTTAGTGCAGCCAGCCGGGTTCACTGGCAGACTAGCTGAACCTAATATATGTAGTAGTTCATTTTATATGTAAATTGAGAGTGCTTATGTTCAATTATTATATTTCTTAGGTCAGACATCATCAGCAGCCCAAATATGAAGAACTTTGGGAGGTCTCTGTTTGGAGGTTACTGTTCCGCATACATGCCTGACCTAGTGCTTCATGGGATTTCCAGCGCTGAGAAACTGAAGCAGTGCCTGACGGCCAGTCTGGCGCACGCCACAGTAGTATGTACAGTTTATACAGTATGCTCCGTTTATAAAGAAAATACCTGTTGACCCTGCCAGAAATGCCATGTCTCTGAACCATAAAACAATCTTGTCTGTCTTGTCTAAATTACTAATCCCATCAGCTCACTTCATGTTAAGGTGCCCATACACCTTACAATTTATCTGCAGATGTTCTGTGGTCAGATGGAAAAAGTGCAACAGATTGGCCCAGGTGGAGATTACTCCATCCACACAGTTAAGTGTAGATGGAGGAATCTGTTGCACCTTTTCCATCTGACCACACCAAATCTGCAGATAAATTGTAAGGTGTATGGCCAGCTTAAGGGAGATGAACAAAGGCAGACATATTTGAAGTCCAGCCTTTGTAACTACCATTGCTCCCTCCATAGGTACACTGGAGAAATACGTGTAGCCAAGAAGGGAAAGAAATGGTTATTTGGAGGATAACCTGGTAAAATTAAAAGAAAAAAGCCTGCTAATCGTCACTGTTCTGTTTGATCTTATTGGTGCTACAAAGAAACCCTGAAATAGCGGACTTTTTATCACATGCAGGTTTTATGAGCGAGGGAATTCTTTTAGAATTAGAAGTGCATTATTCATATATAGTTTTGACTAACTCTACTGCTTATTGACACTTAATAAAGCTCCTTTGTGTTTAAAGTATGTGAACTTTTAACCCCTTCGTGACGGTGGACGTACACTGTACATCCCGCCACGAAGTGCCCAAATGACTTCTAACGTACACTGTACGTGATTTGCTATTTGCCGCTCTGTAATGCTGGTAACCGCTGAGTATCGGTTGTTACCGTTCATTAATGGATGCCTCAGTATTGAGGCATCCATTAATGAAAGAGTTAAGCTTTTTCAGACACCTGATCCCTTTCAGACACCTGATCCCTTTCAGAAGCAGCCTAATCATAACCAGTCATAGTGAGATTAATTCACAATGACTGCTTGATATAATCAAATCAAATAATGTTAAAAAAAGAATTGTGAAAAGTGTAAAAAAATAAATGTAACAAATAAAACTGATATATTTAAATATATTTTTATACTGTCATTATCATAAAAAATTAACCCATTACAATGAAAATCTGCAATTGAGCTGCAGATTTTTCACCCCAAGGGGTTAATTTTGTTTTAACCCCCTCATGACAGTGATGTTCAAAGTATGTCTATGTCACTGTCACTAAGTGTGACACTTGGTGACAGTGACATTGTATGCCAGGTGACCACTTTTAGCATTAGCTTTTAGAGATAAAAGATGAAAATGTTAGGTTTTAGTTTTAGGCTGAGAAGTACAGAAAAATGTCTAAAATCCGAGGCATGTGAGGTTTCTCAAAATAAATGACAAATTAATGTATTTATTTAAAACATGTTTTAGCTGTGCTATTTGTCTAACAAAAACTACTCAAAAACAACTAACTCAAAACTGGGGAAAAAGTGTTTCCTTTATGTTTTTTTTTCCTTTTTTTTTTTTATATTTTATTTGTCTTAGGTGTTAGGTACGCATATGTGATATAAATATATAGCCCTATCTGTCCTCTAAAAAACAATATATAATATGTGTGGGTGCACTTTGTAAGGAAGTATATTACTGACATGGAAGAATCACACAGCAAAAATGTAAAAAGCGTGTCAGTCATTTTTGAACAGAAACTAAAATCAAGCTGTCATGAAGGGGTTAAAAATTTCAAAAAAGTGCCCCTTATACAATAAGCGTATCCGATAGTGGTGGTTGGGATCCAGGGATAGGGATATATTAGTAGGGCTAAAAAATGTAAACGCCCTTCCCTTTCCCCCTGCTTCCCAAGCAGCTGCAGGGTCCCAAGCAGGGGGAAAGGGAAGGGCGTTTACATTTTTTAGCCCTACTAATATATCCCTATCTCTGGATCCCAACCACCACTATCAGATACGCTTATTGAAGCGAAAAATCATTCAGCGCTGTGGGATTCGAGCAGGACTGTTGCTCCCTGAGCTACATGAGCTGTGAGTAACTTGGGATACATTGTATCCACATATGTAATACATTGTATGTATCTGCTCTAACCATTTTATGCCACACCAGTTGGCCTGCAGATCACCTATGTTTCTTTAACGACTGTTCACCCAACAGAAGTTTTTTTAATTGATTTTAAATGTTTTGTTGTGGATGTATTGTTCAAGTTTGTTTTTCTACGATTAAAATTCATTTTGATTATATATTTTCTACCTGTTTACTGAACCAGCTCCGAGTAAGGGATTTCTATAATTAGGGGACAAACCATTCTTTGAATAGTTTTGTTGAAACCCTGGGGATTGGTATGTTATGTATTAATATTGTTCTGGCGTAACTCCGTTATGTTCCCCTGTTTGCTGCTGTGAGTGAAAAGCACTTACCTCACAGTTCTCCTTTTTTAAAGCAAAGCAATCTCCAAAACATTCATAGTGAGATGTTCCTATACTATTAAATCTCAACATTTACTAATGACTAAAGAATACATTTGGATTGTAGGCAGAAACTCTAGCGCACCTAACTGAACTTATGGAGAGATCAAAGTGTTGTCAGATAATGCGGAGATAAAATGTAAAAAATATTTGGCTTACAAAAATAAAATAATCCGATATTGGAGCTTATTTGATAACACAGTAAAAGATCCATGATGTATAGTAACGTCACCAAATCAGGTGTCAATTGTAGTCATTATTTATTAGTGACACATCCATCTCATAGATCTTACATGGCAAGGCTCAGAAAATATGTAAGACATCATTGTGGTAATATATGGACAGGAAGCTTGTTTATTTTCTCAGCCGATTGGCTGGGTGCTCCAGGGCCTTTCTGGGAAAAGGGGCCCTGGACTATGTATCTCAGAGGGTACTGTTGAAAAGGGAATACACATTGGTGTAGTGACATCCAGTATAAATAATCTAGGGTTGTAGCTTGAAATACAACTCCCGCCAAATTTGCTTTGCTTTGGATGGGGGGTGGTGTGAAGGGTTTAAGCCTGTCGATTGTGTTGCTATTTCTGTAGCCATTGGGGATTCTCATTTCCCGGATGGTTATGATCTCTCCTATAAGGGCACAAACAGTAATAAAACTTGTTTTTCCAAAGTAGACCAGAGAAGGTTGGAAGTATTGGGTTGGGCATAAGCTCTTTTTTTTTTGTACTTATGTACAGATATCTTGATTAAAGTTTTTGAAGCACTGGACTACTGCAGATTATTGCATTTTGGACCTTTTTTTTTTTTTTTTTTTTTTTTAGTTAATAAAGCTTTGAGTACAATGAAGCAAGAGGAGTGTCATATAAGCACTTGTAAGGACTTTTTTTTTCTGGATTATGTAAATCGGGAATTACAGTGCAACTGAAGCCCAAACTCTTGTTTTTAATTTTGAATACAGTGGGATTAGAATACCTGTCAGGTTTTTATTGCTGTCTGTGACCCCTTTAGGGAGATTCACCCTCTCTATTTGTCTTGTAACCCAAATTTTGGGGTGTCATCAGAACTGGAGTAGATGGGAAATTTTCCAATGGGGAGCTAGTTCTGGTGACCCTGCTGACCACCAGGGATGTCCCCCACTTTGGAGGAATTTCCACTCAGTTCCTGTTGTGGCTGTCAGACAGGAAGTTAAAGGAAATTTCCCCAATGGGACAAAAATGGCAATGATTATAACTCTCCATTACCTAAAACTAAAAAAAAAAAAGTTTTGGATAGAGCTGACTTCAGCTCTACTTTAAATAGGAGTGCTTCACGTGACTTTATGGTAGTTTTTACAATTTGTGTGTTTGACTAAAACCAGTGCTGACACAAAGCCCATACAGGAATAAAGTATAATGGATATTTAATATGTATTCATTGTTTGTTTTTAGCACCCTGTGTTGGATGAACCTCTTGCAGAAGCTGTGTGCATTGTGGCAGATACTGATCGATGGAATGTCCAGGTTGTCAGCAGCCAGAAGACAATTGTGGACAACACAAAACTTGGCACAGATGTCTTGGTGTCTAGTCAAGTGTGCAACTTACTTCAGACCATTTTACACCTATATAAACTGAAAACCCCGCCTGTATATGTAAGTATTCCACAATTTCATGAGCATTCTGCAGTATGGGGGCAGCTGATGACACCCCCCACTCCCCATGAAGTGACTTTTAGAGTTCATAATTTATTTGCACTTTTTATTTTTATCCTCTGCCAAACCTCAAAACGAATGACTGGTTCTATACACTGATAGCTATCTCTAAGGACCTGACCTGACCTTTGGTTATACATCATTAATGTTGTTCTATAAAACCCAAAGTAGTTCAAAGGTCAATTCATTTCTGAAAATGTTGGTACAAAACCACTTAGTCTGTTGGCACCTTTTATGAGGTGAAAAGAGCCAGCTCTATAGATTTGCCCATTTGTTTTGTCGTGTGTATGAGTATTTAGAATGTGTTCTGCATGATCAAGAATTTGGTGGCAGCCTAACTCCATCATCACACCTTGGGCTGAAATCAGAACTCCAGGAAATGGCTAAATACATGGAAGAAAGCCATATTTTTTATTTTTTAACCTGACCAGGATTTTGTACTCCTACCTATCCAGCCCTGAGCCTTACACAGCTCTACCGCGAAGTCCTGCCTGGCAGGGGAGGGGACCTTTCTCTGTTGCAGTTTCTCTTTCACAGGAACATCAGACTTTTCAATATTACTTTACTCCAGTGATGTAGGTTTTGATGGGGAAAAAAAATCACTTTTTTAATGTAGATAGGGACAGGAAGTGATGGTTAAAACTATCCCAGAGATCAGCTTTAATTATTACAGAGCTGCATTAGTTTGTGCCCTTTGTCAGCCTGGAGTTCAGCTTTAAGTATTTTCAAATGTTTATTTGTCTATTTTGAATGTACGACACATTATTGATATGTGTGTGTATATAATATATATCA